TTAGAAAAGAAACTCTCCGCCGAAAAGAAACTCTCGTGCAGGCCCTCTCGTGAGTTTTCTGCGCGTGGTCCCGAGCTGTCGCATTCGCATCTGATCTGCCTTGAGCAGCTCCTTGGCCTCGGTGGCCTTGCTCACAGCCTCGTTGGAACGTATTTTTTAGGAACATATTGAGGAATCCATGTTCGGAACATTGACTTATCATAACGATCTGACAACAGAACCAGAGCTCTCTGAGCCACGCTGAAAGTGGCGGAAAGTGGCTGAAAGTGGCTGAAAGCTTAGTCTGGCTCCAAGTTCTTCCGCTGCTCGGTTTCTTGGACATCCTTGCCATGCTGCTTTAGAGTCAACAGGACGCAATTCAGGCTTCTCTGCTTGATCTTGAAGATTTGATGGGGAGACTAGTTCAAACATCGAAACAGACTTGGGGGTGAGGGCCTGGGACGAAAGCTAGTTAAGGTGCCCCCACGGAAGAGCTTCCGTCAACATGGCATCAGCTACGCAGCAGGACAAGCACACGCAAAGGCAGCAGGCCGTGTTGATGTGTTGCTTTGCTCTGCGGTGTTTTAGCATCTTCCGGAGGGCTCTTTTTTGAAACGCATGACACCACAACAGATGTTGCACTCACCAGGGGAACCTTTCCAATCCAGCTCTGAGGGACGCCGGACTCAAGTCAACATCAAGGCTTCTGAGTCTTTTCTTGGGGGCTTTTCTGTTAGCATCTTCCGGAGGGCTCTTGTTTGAAGCGCATGACACCACAACAGATGTTGCACTCACCAAGCGAAGTCTGTCCAATCCAGCTTTGAGGGACGCCGGACTCAAGTCAACATCAAGGCTTCTGAGTCTTTTCTTGGGGGGCCTGGGATCCACAGAAAACGGCGTTCATTTGCACCCAAGAAACGAAAGAAATGAACGCCAGCCCGTTTCCCCACAACCTGTGTTTGCCCACCGGAAACCGACCGGGTTTGCTGCGTTTCGTGGCGGAGCCTCCGGGGGCCCTGTATACCCATCAGGTTGTAAGCTTCGCTTAAGCAAGATACTCCGCTAGCTCCTCAGGGGCTAGCTTTCGTGATTGAGATTCACAAGCTCACCAAGGTGATCTCGAGTCTCGGCCTGCCTTGGATTTCGCGATGCCAAGAATTGCAAAGACCTTGAACACATCACTCAACATGGGCAACAGAGAGACTGTGAACCCAGAATAGCCTCAGGGCACAGATTGCGAGCCACTTTGGGTACCCTGCGTCAGAGGCGTCACTCTTGGCACGTTCACGAAGTTGCTGCTGCTTCAACTTCTCTTCCTTCTCTGCCTTCTCTTCCTGCCCCCAAAGCCAAGTCTATCTTGAGGAGGCAGATTCGGTCAGAGCATATTGGAGAAGGCTCGTATGAACGTATGAAGTGGCGGTACGAAGCTGCTTCCAAAACAATTTCATACTGGTGCGGTTGTTGTTGTGGTAGTTGTTGTGTGACTGTCGGAGAATCACCCTCACGCCTCTTGTTTGGCCCACTTGGGGTTGTCGGCCATGTACTGCGAAAGCTCGGCAGCCTACACAGGCATCTCCCCACTCAAGGCTACGTGAAGGCCACGTGCAAGTAAGGCTAAGGCTACAGCATCACTGACAGAGCGAGCAAGAACGTGTTATCCGGAGGATTTTGGTGCCCCCGTCATGCCTAACAGCTGCAGCAAACCAACTATTAAACCAAAACTCGCACTTCTCAAATAGGTTCCGTGCGGACCAGCACAACACATCGAATATTATGCTGGCGTCTACACTGTCGCTCACCTACCGAGTCCTGATCGACGCTACATTCGTCGCTGCAGATTTTGTGCAAGAGTTACGAGGCTTTTCCTAGCATCTAGAATTGCAGATAAAGATCTGGACCACTTGTGAGTTCAGTTGAAAACTGTCAGACGCCTGGAGCACCACTTGAGCAACACTTGAGACCATCGAGGTGGTGTCACATTACGACCCTGGCGCACCAACTTGTGGAACTGCCGGAAGTCCAGCTTTTGCTTGCCTGGCACGGCCGATGTTCACAAGGCCGCGCGTCCAGCAACAGATCTTGTGTGGTGGGCAGCGGCGGTGCCTAGCACGTCCATCTCGAGAAACATCTCCTGGAAGCACTTGCACCCAGCTTGCACCCTGCTTGCGCCCTGCTTGCACCCTTGCACCGAATCTTTGGAAACCCCATGATCACCATGAAGCCTCGGATTTGGATTTGAGTCGGACTAGACTCCACGTTTTTCAGGATGTTCACATGTCCCAGCCTTCAGTCGGTACTTCGGCATCTCTGCACTGGCTCCCAGGATCCTGGCAGTCAGGATATGTCAGGATGACCCGGCTCAGAACTGTGAAGTTCTTCAGCGGCCGGGCCGCTGGGTTCTGGAGTTCCGGAAGGCATGACGAGCATTGACGAAAGGCTTCGAGAAGAGGCTTCAAGAATGTCTCTCTGCAGTGCGCGGCCCCTTGGGCTTAGCTTGTAGCATCTTGTAGCAGGCATTGCAGCACAATTACAAAGAGTGGAGTTGGAGATCTCCGACTGCGAAGCCTCTTGAAGGCCTTGCTGCACTCACTCTCCGTGATAAGGCCGTCTTGGTCCTGCTCGGCACTGCTCGGCACTTGCAGCACATAGTTACAAGAGTGTTACAAGTTACAAGGGACTTGAGACCGACAAAGCCAGGGCTGACAAGTTGAAGCAAAGCAGCGCCCTACGGAAATCAACTACGAGACGAATGGCTCGGCTCTCTGCATCGCAGCCCTGAATCTGACTCCAAGGTGAGGTGCTCCTCGTCGGACATTTCCTTGCGTCAAGACATTTTCAAGACTAAGCCATACTGAATCCGCCCGAAGCCTATATAGACTTAGTGTACATACTAATTATAGGGGAAGCAATCTCTGAGATGAAGGCTCTCCAAATCCCGCTTTACTCGCACACTTTTGCACATGGAAGCCCACTTGCGTTGCCACTAGTAGTCCACTGCATGGCCGCGTCACCGGCATGCAAGGTCTGCACGCAACAACAACCGAAAGGCAGACGAACCAACAAAGCTGGTCCCTGCCTTAGGGGCATCTGTCTATAAACCCTCACAACTCAAAACACCTACCGAGACAGCAGGACTTCCACCTCTTTCTTGCTCGGTAGGAGGTCTGCATCCCTACACGGCTTCAGCATGATGCTCCCGCCGTGGAAGTCAAGCTCTGACGGGAACTCTTCGCTGATCTCCCGGGCTTGCTTCAGGTATGCCAAGCCCTGAGAGATGTTCTGCTCCGCGGAGGGTAGCATGGCCCTGTTTGATTGGACTAAACTCTCAATAGAGATTTGGTTGATGGCATTCAAGCGCGGCGGCTGCATCTTCTTGTTGATGTCAGCACTGACAAGGGTCCGCGCACCACTCGAAAGCATTTGGAACATCACCTTTGTGCCGAAGTAACGTGGATTCCCCGTCTTCATCTCCACTGGACACCCACGTTCATCAACTGCGTCCACATCGGCTGAGAATAGAACATTGAAGCCACCCACACGCATGATGTGAAGGCTCTCAGTCTTCTGCAAATCATGCTTGTGACTGATCTCACGGCCTGTAAGTAGCCTTTCAAACTGGAAGCCGACCTCTGCGTAATTCTGTATGTACTGCTTATGCTTGGCAAGCAGGACGATGTCGGTACCAGGGCAACGTTGCGTCAAGTACTTCGTTCCGGCCTCAATCGGCTGTTGTTGAGCCAAGACTTCCAAGGAGGAGCCCCCAAGTAGAAAGTCGATGCCGGCCAAAGAGCCGCGACGCTGCCAGGCCACACGCAGTGGCACCATGTAGCCTGCATCAAATGGAAAGACGTTGGGGATTTGTTGCGGAACTGGCAAGGCGAAATTGAGTGGAAGTCGAATGCCGCGGATGTTCACCAACGTCGGTGGCTCACCCTCGTCGGAAAGACCTTGGAGAACATCAGTGGCCGTTACCATCCGGAAACTTCGCTTCTGCTGAAGACCTTCTGGATTCCAGGTGTAGATTCCAAGGTCCTCCACCTTTTCGATCCAGCTCAAGATACCCCGTCCTTCCGGATGGGAGGATACCTGTGAGCGATCCATGCGGTATCCTGCCATGTGGTCGGACGAAGCAATCGCCACAAAAGCCTGGGCAGCTAGATGATGCTGCCGGGATCTATCTGTCACCAGAGTCACTAGAGCCCGACACTCCAGCTTCGCGTTGCACGTACAACAACACCAACGCCAACACCACAAACGACGCCACCGCCCTTGCAGCTGAGTGACAAAGGCTACGGACCATCGCGGCTGCGAGCTCCGAAGCTCTTCCAATGTCTTTTCCTGCTGTGGCTCATGCAGCTGGATATAATTTGGACAAATGGAAGATCTCTTGACATTTGACCCATGGAAGGGGGCAGGCGAAATTGCAGGCCGCAAGCGAGACAGGGATCCTTGCTACCCAAGCGGGCTTGCTGCAGCTTCCACGCCTCCGCAGGAGAGTGCGCTGATAAAGGATGGGATCCAGGAGTGGGTAAGCTACACAACGAGCTACAGGTTGCAAAATGGGGTTGCGTCAGTGCCGTGACATGCCGGATGGCCACATGCCAAACCCCGTCAGCTCTTATCTGCAGAGGTGCTTCTATACTATCCATGCATGTGACGCCTGTATCGGATCCATCGCACAGCGTTCGCAGCACAGGCTGTAGGAACAAGACTTATGGCTGAAATCAGATGTGTACGGTAACGTCTGTCAAAAACTAACATCACTAGCAGCCTAAATTGGTAGCGTACTGCCTTACCACCGTACTTAGTCTGCGCTGAGGACTTAATCTGCTGCTTAGGCCCATGCTTCTTGAATTTTCTTGAGTTCACTTCGGGCCGAGCCAGTCGAACGGTCAAGTTCTTATGCAAATCTCATGCAGATCACCGCCAACTAAAGGCCAAAAAAGCCTTGTCCATGGAATTTGGCAGCGGACGCTCTCCCATATCTCAAGTCTGCAGGACAGCGATACAATGCACAACTCCTTCTTCTCTTTCTTCTCTTCCTTCTTGTCCTCACCGGAAATTGGAGTTTTCGCTGGATATTGAAGATTACATGCTGTGCAATTGAGCTTTCGGCTAGAATCAGTAGAGCCAGCAAGGCCTCCCTACACGAACTTGCACCATCGACAAGCTTCAGACATGCAAGGCTTAGGCCGGGCATGTTCCGATGTGGCCATCTCTGAACGTGACGAGTGCACTCGACAAAGGAGGTGGCCAGCCCTGCGCACAAAACCCCAAGCCAAGCTCGTCATTGAGCCTTCTTCTCTTTCGCCTTCTCTTTGCTGTCTTTGCCGTCCTTCAGCTTCTTGTCTGCAGCCTTTGCACAGAAAACCTACTAGAAAAGCCA